GAGAAGCAGCAGAGATGTCACAGACGTTGCTAGCTCGGGTGGCAGTGAGTAAAAGGGTGGGCTGCCGGGAGCCATAAGCCAGCCTCAGCTCCACCCAAGCAGAATGTTATGGAGGGTGGGGAGAGTCCTAAAGGCTCAATTCTCCACTAGCACCTCCTCTTCTTCCTCCTTCTCCCGACCTGCAGCACCCCCCACGTCAGGAAATCTCCACAAGCCCTCTCTGTTACTTTTGGGGCATGGCAGGGGTCAAAGGCCCTGATTCGCCCGGGGTCTGCTTTGCATTTGTTCATCCGTAACACAAACACACAGTGAATATTGGTTCTCCAGCAAAATCTCACACTGAGTCATAGACCGTGGCCATCTGCAGATCAGCTGCCATGGTTACCTCCAGCAGAGGAACGAGCATTCCAGGAGACAGTCCCTCTCCCCTCCTTCCGGGCTGATGCCCTGGAAGCCAAGTCCTGCATGGGATGAACCAGGGCAGCTGTGGGCCTGAGGCTGGCACCCAGAGCTCAGTGAATGTGACGTGAGTGTGAACATCATCTCGGTTCCCCCACCCAGGTTGGAGGCATCTCGGACACCAATCAGATCTTCGGCTTGAGCGAGACCGAACCCGGCTTCTTCCTGTATTTCGCTCCCTTCGACGGCATCCTGGGGCTGGCCTACCCCAGCATTTCCTCCTCCGGGGCCACACCCGTCTTTGACAACATCTGGAACCAGCGCCTGGTTTCTCAGGACCTCTTCTCTGTCTACCTGAGCGCGTAAGTTGGGTAGAGAGGGGCCTCCTCCCACCTCCCCCTCCAGAGGTCACAGTGTTCTGGCCCAGCAGCAGCTGTCCAAGGCTGGCTGCGATGGAGAGGGTGTTGGGAAGCAAGGGATTTGGAAAGTCAATGTCTGAGGGTGGAGAAATGTGTCTTTGCAGAGTGATAGGGCCAAGTCTCTCTCTGTCGGGCCATGTGCACTCCATGTCATTTACCAGCGTCTTTGTTGCTTGATGGGTACAACTCAAATGTCATCAGCCATTTGCCCCCCAGTGCCAGTTCCGTCGTACTTGGCCCCCAAAGATGCCATTGAAAGTGAATACACTTGGGCAGGCGCAGTGGCTCATGCCTGTAATCCCAGCACTTTGGGAGTCTGAGACGGGAGGATCACCTCAAGTCAGGAGTTCAAGACCAGCCTGGCCAAAGTGGCAAAACCCCGTCTCTACTAAAAAATACATTCCCCTGGGGGTGAAACTCCTCCCAGCTAAGAACAAGAGATGTCTACCATCAAGTCCTTAAGAGCCAACACTGTCACCCATTCACATCCCTGGGGTCGCCATGGCTACTAGAGTGAGTACCACAGTGGAAACCACACACTCAACCTAAAAGACCCATGTTCTTCCAAACGTGGTTCCACCACTTCCCCACTATGTGACCTTGGGCAGGTGGCCTCACCTCCCTCAGGCTCAGTGTCCTCATGGTAAGTGGAAATAACAGTGACAGTGTCCACTGCGTGCGCCCTGGCCTATGAGGACAAGAAACCACATTTGTCACACCCCAGGACAGCCTGCCAAGTGCCCAATCAAGGGTAGCTCTGAGGAGCCAATAGCAGATGTTCACACAAATGAACGAACAGAGAAATTCATGTCTTCTTCCCTCACTTTCCACAGCGATGACCACAGTGGCAGCGTGGTGATATTTGGTGGCATTGACTCTTCTTACTACACTGGAAGTCTGAACTGGGTTCCTGTTTCTGTCGAGGGTTACTGGCAGATCTCCGTGGACAGGTGAGACTGCCATGGATGGGCAGCATCGCATCGAGGCCTGGGCCCCAGATTCCAATTTCTTATGGATTCATAGCTAACCAGCTTTTTCCAGAATTCCCCTGAGAACACCTGACACAGGGGAACACACTCCAGGGGGAGCGGAAGTGGCCCAGTCAGAGGACCCTAGAAAGACATGTCCCGGGCGGAGGAGGAAGAGCTGTCTGGGAAGCCGAGATTCTGCCAAGGGTCAGATAGCACTGTCCTCCTAGTCCACGGAGGCAGACAATCACCAGCATCCCTGGGGAAACGCCGGTGACCACCTGCCTGGGACCAGCACGACGCTCCTCCACTCGAGGAGACGTGTCACTTTCAGTCTAGAAGTAGGGCCAAAATGGCTAAGAAATTGTGTGAAGTCATTTCTCAAGAGTGAACAATTTCCCAGGACAAGGTCTTTTGGTCCTAAAACTGGGACCGATCCCAGGCAAACCAGGGACACCATTGATCACCTCATGTCTGCCCAGGCACTGCTAATTTCCCAGTTCCTCCACTCCTGCCCCAGGCCCTCTGGTCTCTGTCCCTCCCCACATACCGTCCCCTGTTGATGTCCTCATTTCTCTCTTCACCTGCCTGGCATCCCTGGGTGTCTGTCTCCCTGGCTGCTTCCCTCCACCGCCTCGCTCCACCCTGGACCCTGTTTTGTTCCCTGCCGCAGATGCCCGGCTTATCATCCTGCCCCTTCTGCCCCATAACTTATCTTGTCAGCCAGGCCGGGAGCTCCCTGCAGCCTGGAACGCTGTGAGGCTGGTCTGGTTTTAGTTTGCGTTTCCCATTGCCTGGCAAGAGAGTAGGCACTTGCAAATATTTGTTAGGTAAAATGAATGCAGGATGAATGAGTGTGTGAAGAGAGGAACAGAAATTCACGCACTGGGCAATGGATGGGTGGGGAAGAAATGTCTGGGTCACCTCCTGGTTCCTCCTTGGAGAGATTTACCCCTGAGGGCTCAGGGACCTTCACTTGCTTCTTGCCCTCAGCATCACCATGAACGGAAAGACCATCGCTTGCGCTGAGGGCTGCCAGGCCATTGTGGACACCGGCACCTCTCTGCTCACGGCCCAACCAGCCCCATTGCCCAATCACCAGAGCGACATCGGAGCCAGCGAGAACTCAGACGGCGAGGTGGTCCGA